GGGGGGGGGGGGGGGGGGGGGGGGGGAGCGTTTGTCTGTGCTGCGCCGGGCAGACTGAAGACTGCTGCTGCCTTCAGACAAGCACACACACACACACACACACACACACACGAAAAGCGAACACTGAGAAACAAGCCAAGCCGAACTGGGTGCCTAATCAGAGCACATGTTTGCTGACTGAGCAGTTTCTTTTGTCTATTTTCAATCCAAAAGAGAAATGTTCCTACACACACACAAAAAAACAGGTTTCAGAAAAATTGCGGTTGAAAATAAATGAAAGTAAATAATATCTCAAGCTAAATCTTTGGCGAAAGACTAGAAATGTTTTTAGACAACAACATTCTTTATGTGTTGAAAATAATTAGATAATGCAGCAGCCACAAAAATCCAAAGAAAACTCCTCATCAGGCTTACTTAGAAGAACACAACCCCATGTGCTCAGAGTCCGCTCACTGTCCTTCGGCTCTCTGTGCGCTTTGGGCCTTGCTCTCTGGACATGCTGCTGAAGTGGCCCGTCTGGGATTTCTGGCCTCGGTCGAGGTCTGGGGGAAAGCCTGCACCCTGTGACCCTCATGCATGAGTCTGGCTCAACACACACTCACTGGAGCTTTGACTTCACTGCTGAGTCTGTGTGCCCTTTTTGAAAAGTTAAGGGTGTTTTCTGCTATTGCAAACATAAAAGAGGACTGGAAAAGCTGATAAAAAAAACTACAAAAGATGATCCATGACATGACCTGGTGGTCTCAAATCTATTTAGACCTCGTGCGTCTCACTATGATGAACCCTGCCCTCTCATGGAATAGATACCAGATAGCTAAAACTCAGATATCTTATATGCAGCAGAACACAAATAAATAAAGAGGAACTCAGGGGGAAACGGTTCAACCCTTGCCAATATCTTATTCTCCATGAGTAAAGCACATGACTCTTGTGTTACGGTTGAACAGCCAGGTTAACCATATACAGATGACATAATCTTTATGATGTCAGAGATCTATCATCATTTCCGTGCATGAATTTAATTGCTTGCCAACTAATCCAAACTTCTCCGAAATCATCTCTCATTTTAATAAGATTACATAAACAACTTATTTATATCTTTTAAAGTTTTGCCTTTGAAGAACCCCCAAGCCCGGACTTATCTTTCATCAGACTGGCCTGAAAGTCCGCCCAAACATCCACTATAAGGCAAAGATAAACTTGCATCTTAACAGTATTTGCTGAATGCTCCACACTAATTAAATTGGTAATGTTTGAACATAACTTCCTTAAAATTTCATGTCCTCTTTAGTGTTTCACTTTACCGCAACTTAGTTCAGAGTTGCATCATATCTAAAAGTTATTTCACTCTCTTTAGTTATTTCAATGCTGCAGATCCAACTAAATTAAGCTTTGAAGATTAGCAAAACATGTTCGAGTTATTTTGCCTAAAGTTTTTCCTTTTAAAGGATTTTCTTACTATTTTCTTACTCTGTGTTCTCAGTTTAAATGGATTACTTAAGCTGTATTTGGTGTACACCTTCAGGATTTAGCAAGGTCACCTTAAATTAAAAGAGGTCTTCCCTTTTGTTTTCCTAAGTCTGAGTCTATGACATCATGTCAGTAATCACAAACGAGGTTTTAACACAGGTTTATTATTTAAGTGGTGGTGGCAGATAGGAGCCACACAAACCGCTGTGTGACTCATGAGTTTAAGTGACCCCTACCCCCTTTCCAGATTTGTGTCATTTTAATTGGTCCTGTTGACGAAGATTGATTAAACATCTCATTCATGGGCAGTTGCACCAAGAACACTTTTCATTGATGTAAACAGTTTGAAAACAGCTCAAAACAGTTTCAGCTGATATTAACAAGCGTTGGTGAACCATAAGCTCCTGTATCTCACGCAGCTGGTTGGTATCAGTTTGGTCGTCTGGCCCAGCTGCAAACAAGGTCTCGGTTTTCTTTTATTAGGTGATTGACTTAAATTGAATGACACTTCATTATTTCCTTAGCTCTGTGCCTGTACACCTCGAGATCGGAGCAGCCCTCAAACTGCAGTTACAGGTGAGGAGGAAGTGTGGCCATGCTACAACAACTGGGTGGGTAATTGACCCCAGAGGACAAGTCAACCTGAGCGAGACGCAATCCTGATTTTCCAGCTGTTTGAGCTGAGAGACAAGCTCACTGAAGCAGCCAGTCTACATCTGCGCTTTCTTTTCTGAGTCTGGGAGAGGTGTTGCACAGACCTGCAGCGTGTGAAACCACACCGGAGTCTCTCGGACCCCGAGGTGAGAGTATATGCAAGGTCAGAGAGGCTCTGGCCTCCTGCACACACATCTCACCTCATCAGTCAGAACTGACACTTAAGGCAAAGCAGTGCCGGGCTGTGCACACTCACCCCGACACTGATCCCACCCGCCATCACCGACTACCATGGTGAAAATGATTCATCACATTTAGTCTGCTCACTTGTTTTGAGGGTTGATTCATGGACCTGTCTTTTCTTGAGTTGTTTTAAAGTCTATTAACTAAATTTTATTGATGAAGATGAGAGTAAGAAATTGCTACCTACTTAATTTGACTATTTAATTGATTATATTTAAGGACAATTAGCAGATTTTTATGATTTAGGAAACAAAATAAAGAGCTATACAATTCAGAGAGAATACCTGACACTTTGTTTGCTTACATAAAATATATGAAAATGAGTAACAACCTTTCCACCTGAGATGGACAATCTTATATTTTGGGTTTACTCGAGCATGTGACAATAAGTTTACATTTGCATCGGTATTTTTCCAAAGACAGAGAGAGGCCAGTTCACTTTGACTAATCGTTTTTTCCTAAAAGCCATTAGTTTAAGTTAATATCTGGCAGTTCTCACATCAGTCTTCTCGGCCCATCCAGATGTGCTTACACACACACCTACTAATCTTCCACAGGAAAGAGGAGGATGGTCTCCTGCCTTTCCTCCCACTACTGTGTCTGTCTTTACCTCACCTTCCCTCTCACTCACTCTCCCCGTCTCTCCCCCTCTCTCGGTTTTTCCGGCACACGTCTGTGGTGATGCTGATGTCAGTGACAGGTTTGTGAGCCGGACTGCACGTCCCCAGCTGGCAGCGGAGTGTAATTACAGAGCAGTGCTGGGCTGAATGGTCTGACGGTGGTGGGGTGAGCAGGGTCTGCTGACAGAAGTGTTAGTCTGGCCTACAAAAGAGAGTTCCTCAGGGCAGGAGGGGGGGGGGGGGCAATCTGGGTACTGAAATCTGTGAGCTTGACCTCAGTGAACAGGATGCACCTCAACCATCCCTCCCTGTCCTCTTGTCATGCTTCCTCCTTATTGTGTTTTCCTAAAAGTTGAACTATTTCAGTCCCACAGCTATCTGCCCCATGGGCACCGAGATGAAACAATGGAAAATACCTGCAAGGCACCTCTAGTGACTAATTATAGGAATATTGGTCTTTGTTTCAGAATCACTCACCACCTTCACCTCTAATTACTGAGCAGGGCAGAGCTGCCTCTGCTGTTTGTTAACTGCTCCTTTCAGGATGTGTGCAGAATGTGCGTAAAAGTTTGCATTTGATGACTGGTGTCGAACTGGTAGAATGAGAAGCCGTATAATGATTCAATCTGGAAGCATGAAACAAATAGCAATGAGAGTGAATTTACAAAGGGTTGAATCCAATTCCATGCCATGGTTGTATAATAATGATTAATAAAAAAGCTGCACATGTCAAACTGGGAACAGCTCCCTGTGCCATGTAAGCAAATATCGCTGTGGTTTGTGCAAAGTGGCTAAAATTAGTGGCGGGCGGTGTCAAACTGCAGCACGCTGCAGTGAGATACTGTGTGGTCAGGACTGGCTGCACAACAATCCACCCAGCAGTCTTAAAACACCGAGCAGATGTCCAATGAAAGCATGACGATCCTGCTCACGCCCCTTTTTTTATTAAAGTGAACCACAACAATGGAGAAACCTGATGAAACTCAACTCCTCCTTGTTGCCCCGACGTGTAAACTTTGCCTCGGCGACGTTCCCTCATTCAGCGTACTCATCTGGCATCTACCGCACAAGTCAGTCACTCTCTGTAGTTACTAAGGAAACGAGTGAAAACAGGACAGAAAGGCCTTCTGCCTGCGTGAAACCACACACACGGCTGCTGCAGTGTCGGTGTGGCAGGGAGGGGACCGTCTTGTCTGTGACCTCCTCCCATAAAACAGTCACAACACACAGCGGTAATTAAAGCGCACGAGGATCAGCCAGCACGTTGCCACAAGAGGCCAACAAACAAAAGCCCCGAAAACACCCGGGACCGGAATTAGACCTCAGAACACACATGCACGCATGTCTATCTTTGTGAGGACAAACATTTACATAATGCATTCCCTGGTCCCTTCACACAACTATAATCACTCCCACAATGTGTCTAATATCAGCCACTGCCATAACCTGTACCTATTCCTGAGCGTTTTACAGCCCTTTGTAGGGGCGTGAGAAAAAGGAAAACGGGGAAAGATAGTGACCTTTAAAGGATTGTTTTGGTGTGTTTCGCTTTATGATTCTCTGTTGTATTTTATCTTATTCACTCTGAGAGGTAGAAGTCTCATATCCCTGTCAAGATATTATTCTTTTCATTCATTTAAGCAGTAGATCTGATAATGTTCTTTGTTCCTTCTTTAGGCAGGTTAGAATTATATCATTAAATTATACAGATAATTCAGCTGTTTGTTCTTTTTCTTTTTGTTGGGAAACAAATAATCATGATAGTACCTAAATCTAATATGACTGATTGTTGAAGTCTCTAAGATGACAGTGATCTGAGCACTAACAGTAAAATAAACCCCAACGGACATCCAGACAAAAAGGAGAAAGACATTAAAAAGCCAACACCAGGAGGAAAACCAGTGCGTGCTGCCGTTGAACAGTCAGCTTCAAAACTCGGCCGTGGATAAGTAGAAATTAATGGAAATAATCTTTTATAAGTGCTTATACACTGTGATGCACATCTGAGAAACTTTCAGGATTTTCCTGTGATACAACTTTGTACAACTAGATAAGATGTAAGCATCTTAGCTGTCCTGCAATAATCAGAAACAGCAGGAGATGAAGAAGAAGGAAAAGGAAAAAGAAGACGATCATGTTGAAGTTGTTGTTTTTTCTCAGCTTGTTAGACAACACCGTAAAACTCATCTGGTAAAACAAGTCTTAAATGTTTATTGCGCTCAATGTAGGCCTTTTTCTTTAATTAGCACACAAAGGCCTGTGGGAATATTCTAACCTACAGCTGTCTGAAGTAATTCCTATAAACTCAACAGCTATGCTAGGATTAGGTTTGGCCTTGCAGTGAAGACATGACTGACATTCAGCTGTGAGGAAGATTCTCACCAAAGAAGGGTGGTAAGTTCCTCAAAAAGCAAAGCATGCAGCATCTTTTGACTTTAAGTTGTTACTCTAAGCCACATGCGATGTACCGGTTTCTGCCCTAAACCTTGTGTCTCTCCACCATGATGGATGTCAATTCTACATCAATTCCACGATAAAATAATGAAATTCAATATAGTTGCTTTAACCGTCTTCCAGCTGACTGAATGTATACCAAAGGAGGATGAGATGTCACAAAAGAAATCTGAAGATCTGAAATCTCCAAACAGTGGGATGCAAAGACTGAACAATAGAAAAGATGGTGAGTTGACCAGCTGCCGTTATGGCAGCAGTGCATAATTGGAGTTTACACTCTGCTCCCTTCTGCAAAAACATCCTGAGGAACCAGGCCAGCACACCTTCGACTCTGACCCTGTTGATCACCACGTAGGAGTTGACACGCGTTTCTGCTCCCTGCGCTGGGGAGCAGGCCTGCCCACAAACCATCGACCAAACATTCTGCCCCTCCGGTGTATGCACTCAGTGCTGGGTGAGCAAAGCCTTTTTCCTGCTGCGTCTGAAGGACGAGCCTGGTCCAACAGTTTATTTATCCACGGTTGGTCTGAGGGCTGGCCTCTTGTGGCTCACAGGCCCGCTGCCACACCAGCCAGAGGCAATTTCCCCCCTGTGGTGTGATTTCTACCTGAGTACACACCAGGGCAAATCCTGTTAAGAAAGAGATCTCGAGAACCTCTATTTTCCCCTAAACATCCTTGTAAACAGTCAAAACAGCCGAGTCCCTTGCAGCGGGATCCATGACAACCAAATAGGAAAGCTGCAGTCGTACAAAATGAGCACAATCCCAGTGAGCTCGCGGCTGCGCTTGTCCGCGCAAAGCCAAGACACGACTGCCAGACCGAAGCCGGTCCAGCTCCCCTTAGGCAGATATTCCGCTTCAATAGCAAACCATAAACCTGCCTCACTCCGCAGGGCTATAAATGAAGCACAGGCAGCAGACATGTGTGGTAAGAAGGGAGCCAAATCTTTCTTCGCTTTTGTTTCAGCTTTTCTTATGATTCAGCGTCTTTTGCTGGGCATGGTCCACTTCCTCCACCATAACAAATCATTTGATTTGTCAGTTTCCTTTGGGCCTCCTCATGTAACAGCCTAATCTCCATTCTGCCTTCACAAGCTTGGACCATATTGTTGATTGTGGAGGTATTTGGCCCCGCTCAGGGGTTTGTCTTGGGGGTTGGGGGGGGGAGGTGGGACGTTAGATTTAGCATTTTGAAATAGCAAAAGGCCACTGCATCACAGAATCGACTTGAAATGGGACAGAGGCAGAAGAATCTGAAAGCATGTTATCATCTTCTCCTTGTAAATACATTTTGCTGCCAGTATAAGCAGCATTTGGAAGCACAGAACTCCCCAGAGTGTTACAGCTTTAAGAAGGACAGCTTTATTTATTACTAGTGTTTAATACATTTGTATTGGCCGATAACAAGGCTTATGATGGGATTTTCAAATATTTTCAGAAACCAAGGTTTATTTCACATGCACAGGGTTATTTTCACAAACTTTTCCTGAATCTTGAGTACACAAACACACAAAGGTTTGTGACATTTGGGAAAACGAGAAACAGCTGCAAACTGCTACATGGAGAAAAATGGAAAGATGCCTTCATGTTTTTCTCATTAATATTACAGAAGAGTTAGGGCTTTGATTATATGCTTTGCTGCTGTTTGTAGCACTGTAGAGCATTATAAACCCGAAAAGTTGGCAGTGTGAGAAGTGAACAACCAGCCACAAACTGGAACAAACAAAACAATAAGCTGTGAGCAAATTAAGTAGACGAAACCACGTCTTTTTCCAAGATTTCAGCCTAGATGTGGACTGACATATGATGGAAATTTTCAAGGCTACTGGTTTCTGTTTTGGTTGATATGGGGTCCAGATTTAGGATTCTTGTATGAACATACAGCAGACGTGGAGGTCTGGCTGGTAAAAACACAGCATGCTGTGCATGCATGTCCGACAGGCCGAATGTTGGATGAAGTCCTTTATTGGGAGTTACATCCAGTCTTCCACTGGATAGACATGTCTAACTCAGGAATTGGGGCTCAAAGCCGCCTCTGACTTATATGGATCATATTGTCTCACAACATAAAAATAGGGAGAAGAAATAATGGAAAGGCTGCAGAGTGACTACTGAGCATATTCCCAGGTAGGAGGGCTTACAATACAAAGGTTCCTCTCAGCTGGATCACACGATATGCAGTACTGATGATCCATCGCTCGGTCGCATGTGGTCACACATGTGAAAGTCCTCAAAGTGGCGGCAGAGAGCCAGGGTCAACATCACTACCTCAACACTCCAGGTCGAGCAGAGGATTGATGGCTCTTCTGCACGCTGCTGCCTCACCATCTTCACCATCGACATCGGGCCAAGTCTGAGCATCACTCCTTACATCGTTACGCATCAGCGTGCACCTGTTTAAACACACACACACACACAAACACACGCAGGGCAGAGACCGACCGCTAAACCGTGGATCTGTGACAGGAGCCTGAGTAAGAGTGGAGCAGCTGATATTACTGCGCGCTGCCTCAGCGTGCTGACAGACGGGGCCTCCGCCCTCGCTATTCCTCGCAACAGCAGGAACTAAAACCTTAATTAAAGACAGCAGATTTCGGCTTTCGGCTCTCTCGACTGCGGAGCGGCAGACTATTAAAAAAATGTGTTCGGAGGAGGGGAGCCGGGATCAAACCAGATGGTGATGGGCTGCTGCTGAATTCTGGACTGCAGATGCTTGTAAAAAGTGCTTGCACACACCAACAACCGTTCAATTACCGAGGAAACAGAAACGAACCACAAACATTCTGTAACGACAGTACTCCCACCACTTTACATTGCATGCATTTGCACAGATCTGTGTCTTTAAAAGTGGAATGATCTCATCTAATTAAAGAAACCGACAATCAAATGGATCGTCTGCAACATCATGTTCAATATAACTGTAAAAACATGAGATGCTGTTGAATGAAAAGTATTTCAGACCGTCCATTGTTTGCATAATGTGGCCTCTTTGGGGCCTAGACTATCAAAGAACTCATTACTGGCAAATGGTGCTGATCAGTGTGCCACCTAATGGGAGTTGTGGTTGCAAAATCCGCCTGAGGTTTGAACACTCGTACGCCTGTATCACACACGACAAATCCACACACACATAAATGCTTCTCCCAGAACGGGAGAGTAAATGACTGTGTGAAGCCGAGCTCCTCTCTGTCTAATCCCCGAGTGAATGGTGCGCTGTGTGCCGAGCATTCCGCTGTGTCTTTCTAAGGCTTTCGGGGGATTAGACCCCACTTACTTCCAGGGGCCGCAGGGTGGGATCAAAGCAGACCGAGCTTGCTTTGGTTCAGTGCGGTAGCCGTGCAGCAGGCAGCTCAGGTAGGCCCGTTTGGGGGGGGGGGGGCAGGGGGGAACACGACACCGCGGTTTAGAAGTGAGACGGTGATGCGGGTCGCACACACCTGGTGGGGGTCAAACCCGAGCTAATCCAGCTCCGCGCTAACTGTGGCTGTGCTGATTGATGGCCGGCCAGTGGGAGGTCAGACGTAAAGCCCCGTAATAAAGCAGGCATGCCATAGTTCGGCCCACTGAGCTTACACAAACACAAATCATAACTTTTGATAGCGGCTTTCCCCTGTCATTTGTATAATTTGCCCAGAATAAAGACCTTCTCATGAGAAAGACATCATTTAATCATACACGGCGCACACTTGAGCAATCTGGACTTGATTCCACTAAAATGGTACTGCAGGCTTTCCGTAGGCTAAACTTCCATCCAGCAAAACAGAGGACAGACAAAACAAACACGACGGCTGATCTGCAGCGGCCTTCCAACACCCAGAAGATCCACTCAGCTTCTGACCTTTGCCCCCGGCTGAAAAAGCAGGAGGTTTGTTAATCCGTGTCAAACAGCTTGGAGGAAGTAACAGTGCAATGTGTAAAGCGTTTAAGTTACCATAACAGCCCACAGCTGGACTAATACACAGAGATACTAAAGAGCTCAGAGATACAGCCACAGGAATTAAAAAGACTAACATGGTGAGCCCTTCGAGGCACATGGAAAACAAACGGGATTCATCCTCAAATTTGCTCAACTAATAACAGGGAATTAGAGTGTCTGTGCGTGTTCAGAAAATAAACCGCACAGGAAACAGACGTGCAGTGTGTGCAAAGAAAAAACTAATTACTGTATGTTGGAATTTCAAAAGCTAATCTATGTGCAGTCAGAGCTATCTGCAGCATCTAAATCCCGATGACAAACACCAACACACGGCATGTTTTGGTAACTCCCTGGGAAATAAACGGAATGACCTTCAGAGGATTTCATCGCCATAGAGATAAGCAAAATCATGGTCTGGCAAACAAAAAAAAACAAAAAAGAGAAAAAGTTAATTGTGTGTCTTATCTTGACGTTGTGTCCCTCTCAGTTCAATCAGTACGAATAAAAAATTATGACCCAAGATGGCCCTTTGTTTGCCTCATGTGCCTTCTCCCACAGGTGTCTTTTTTCCTCTGCATGCTCTATCTCCACTCCGTCTGGAGCAAGAGCAACCCCCGCGCACACACACACACACACACTGACACACACACACACACACACATCTAAAACGAGTGGCAACACCTCGCATCTGGGCAGTGTTAACTTCAGCTTGTGGCTCTGTCTCATGTCTGCTTCCTCTTGACAGATGGAAATAAAGTGGGCCCTCATCCACTTCAGGAGAGGAGGTGGGAAGGGGGGGTATATGGTTGGTTTTGTGTTTTGCACCATTGGAGATAAGTAAGCATGCTCTATGTACTCTACAAAGGAAAGATAAGCTAAAGAGGGCCATCCAGGCCTGAATCGTGCTGATGACTAAAACACAGACAAGAGGGATAGCTGCTGTTTTTCTTGTAAGAAAACAAAGAGAACAAAAAAAAAGGAAAAAACAAGACAAACAAGAAGAATGATCGTATCCTTTCCCTGAGATGAATAGAGAAAGATAAACTTTAGTGAGACTCCCCCTTCAGCTTGAAACTTTCAATACAGACCAAGGAACAACGCAAAAGATAAGAAGGCAGGAACAGTGCTGGAGTTTGTGAACTGTTCCCATCAAATGATTGACGACACGAGAAACATAAATGTCTGTTTCTTAAAAATGATTTTCCGGAGCCATCTATAAATAATCAGTGCAATGTCCAGTTTTACTGATTTGTCCTTTTCAAAAGAGCAATATCTCCCCCCAAAAAATCTAACATGGAAATACGCACAGCCAGTTCAGATGATGTAAGGATTAAGTTTTAGGGGAATAAATGAGCCCAAACATTAAAAGCCACTGATTTACTTGAGGGTATTTTATGCTTCAAAGACAGATTTATTAACTGTAAAATGAGTTATGCTGAAAGCTGAAGAGCAGATGCAGGGATTTTGGATTTGTGCTGACTTTTTGGCCATGACACACCAGTCCAGGAAACCTCTCAGTCGTCCCACATCAGTGTTTGTCCACATCCAACCCTCTCCCCGTGCCTCAGTGTGCCAAGTCTGAGATGCTGCCAGTTGATGGAGCGCTGTGACATCCTTTCACGAACACTCTCAAGACTTAAGCTGGTGCTGCGGACATTCGAACTCCCCCACAGTTTGCAAAAAGGCGACTAAAGATTGCCAACAAATCCCTAAGACAGAGGGATGAGGCGGAATTGAAATGTGCAAAGATAAGAGTGGAGATGAAACAGAGGGGTAAAATGGGGTTTTCACCCCCGCCCTGACCCTTCCTGTTTTATGCTCTTCTCCCAACTAACCATAATGAGGGTCTTATCTCTGGAAAACACTTCAACACAACGTACCCACAGACAGAGCCCAATGTGTGAAGACTTGCGTGGATGGAATGAAAGCACGGAGAAAAACAGAGCCGCGATGCAGGGGAGTGGAGGCAGATTCCAGAATCAGAGGGGCGGGGAGAGGCAGATCAAAACCAGGGGCCTTTACAACAACGTAAGAAGGACACCAGACAGAATGAGAGGCTCACAATGCTCGGTCATCAATCACGTCCTTATCCTGTCGGCTAATAAAGCGCGCTGTGATCACAGTTACAGGTCAGCAGGGGTCGGCCAGCCCCACGGGGGGGCCGCAGGGACAGACGCGGGGCACGCAGCCCTTATCTCAGCACCGCCACACAAAGGGGAACACAGCCTCCCCTTTAGACTCCTCTGTTGGTATTCACTAAGTTTTTTTGTCCACAGCTGTCCTGCACTCCTCCACACCCCCATAGCGAGAAACTGCTGATGGAAGTGGAGAGAAAAACTTCAGGACAAAGTGCACAGTAACAGAAAAAGAGCTCCTCTCAAAAAGTAGGGCAGCAAAACCCCGGGTACTATTTTCGGGATTGTTTCTCTCACTTTGGTTTGGTTTTACCGGAGAGAAAAAAGACAAATTGTCACACTTTGGAAGTTTTTCTTTTATGATTAATCTATTAATCCGTTAACATTTACAGCTTGGCCAATACGTTTCCCCCAAAAAAACAAGAAAAACAAACAACCAGACTTACTGACTTGTCAAAATACAAAAGTGAAGGCAAATAATGACCCGGATTCCTTTGTCTGACTTCATCAGCTAGAACAGCGACAGAAGTATCTGTGACTGGATGAAAGATGGATGCAGCCAGGTCAGTGAAAACACTCTGTGCTTAAGTAACTGTTCTAAAGCCTTAATGCTTCTCATTTGTCTTTTTAGAAGACTTTTAAAAGATACTGATCTACATCCCTGAAATCCTGATTGATACCCTGGATTACATCTATCAACTCGAGCCTACCTCCCATCCTGTCAACAACATTTACAGTAGCTTCAGTATCTCTTCTGGAAATGTGGAATTTGGACAGGGTTATGAAGTGTTCTCTTCATCGTACACCCTTCTCTTGCAGTCCGAAGAGAAACCCGGCCTATATGTGCTGGGTGATGTGGAGCGCTTTTCCATTTGTTTCCTGACCGTTCCATCCTGCTCAGGGTTGATGTCATAAACACAGAAACACAGACAAACAACCACACACTTCTAGGGCCAATTTACAGTAACCAATTAAGCCAGTTTGTATGACTTCAGAGCCTGTGGAAGGAAGCCAGGGTTGCCCAAGAAAACAACACAGGCACAGGAAGAACAATCAAACTTCCCGTAACCACACCCAAACATAGATTCAAACTGGAAACCTTTAATGAAAAATACGTTGGTTTGTTTTTTGATGTGAAAGATTGAAGGCAGCTGTTGACATCAAGTGACCTATCAAGAACTGCATTTCTCTTTAACTCCATCATTGTTACAGTAAAAAAAAAACAACCCTACAGAGACTTGGGAGGATGTTTGGGTGTCGACTACAGCGCAAAAATGACAGATTATACTACAATAGTTAATTTGTCACAC